ATGCCATTAGCCAATCGCAACTGTAGCAGACTATCCAATGGGTAGCACCCCAATAGGCTGCTTACTTCGTCACTTGCTTTTAGTTGCACTACTTCTGACATCCAACAGGGGCACCGTGCCTCACAAATACATAAGCGAATAGACTAACAAACCTCGGCCCTCTAACCAATCAATACGATAGACCTATCAATATTAGGATGTTTCCGAATAATGACTGGAGACGCTACAAAGCCACAAAATGCTTCGTCGTGTGCGAAGACTGACTCCTCATCCTCTGATACAGAAGCCGATAATCTAGACAAACAGGGGGATTCGCTTCATCTATTGTGCACACAACACTTGAAGCCTCAGGACGCTACTTCGTCAGGCCGAGGTACCCCACTAACTGTTGGTTTACTGCTGTTTCAGTGATATCTTTTGGACTAGTGCCCTGTTTGAGAGCAGCTTGCTAGTCAATTGTTGGCTTCATGAGAGGCACAATTAGCGACAGAAACTTATTTTCGCGGTCGTGTTCTCAAGGTACTCCAGAGAGTAGGTGGGATTTAATTGCATTAGTTCACCTACTGGGACACCGTAAGTAGCATATAAGCAATTAATTGATTTGCATAGATAGACTTGAGCAAACAACGGGGGTGAAAATCAGCTGACGTATAGAAGGGTGGTAAATAAGAGTAATTTATTTATTGGGGTTGTTAGATGCAGAGATCCTCATAAATCACCGTGGTCTCATTGGAAGTGATATCATATTCCAGGATAATTTAGTTCGTACTACACGCCGAGTGACAGTTGGAGATGAAGGAAGAGGACATCTGTTATATTCATGAAATTGGAGAGGGATGTATTGAAAGGATACGCAGATTGATCGGAATCTTTTGTTGGTGTACGGCAAACAGAGAGGTAACCGAGTGATCGTGGATGGCAGGAGTTTCGCGTGTAGGTGGGGAGAGCCACGTCGCAGATCTGAGAAGTATCATGGCCCGAAACTTTAGAAGCTTCAGGTGGTTCGCCATTCAAATCCTTCATTTTGAATGACCTGATTATCCCGTTTTTTGTGGTAACCTGTCTATATTTTTCGGACCGCATCAATTGGCATAATGTAGTATAGTACAGTCGAGCGTAGTATAGTAAAGTATAGTATAGTATAGTATAGTATAGTATAGTATAGTATAGTATAGTATAGTATAGTATAGTATAGTATAGTATAGTATAGTATAGTATAGTATAGTATAGTATAGTATAGTATAGTATAGTATAGTATAGTATAGTATAGTATAGTATAGTATAGTATAGTATAGTATAGTATAGTATAGTATAGTATAGTATAGTATAGTATAGTATAGTATAGTATGGTATAGTACAGTGTAGTATAGTAGAGTGTAGTACAGTATAGTATGGTATGGTATGGTAGAACGTGCTATAGTATGGTCTGGTGTGGTGCAGTACATTATGACGCGACAACATACTGCAGGGCGCTGTATTGCACTGTAGTAAGTTCTGCTGGATTTTGTTGTGGCGTATTTTATGCCTGCTCCACATGTCTGAAGATGACACGGTTTAGCACTATGGACATTCCAGAGTGCTAACCCCTGGGCGCCTTCAGAAGTAACTTCCTATGGCCTTCACTGTACTGATCAAAATTTGCTATTAGAAAGCACCGAGGGGTCAACAGCATGTATCTCAAAGTGAGGCACTAAACCATCTTTCGCATACATTGTGGATTTAGA